TGTGAAATAAACTGATATCGAAGTAACATCCCGTTAAAATCAATTGAAATTTAATTAATTAGAATTCCTTGTGAAATCAATCGAAATCGAATTAAAATCACGTTAGAATCAACTGAAATTCAATTAAAATTCCTTTTAAAATCAACGGAAACCGAATTCAAATCCCGTTAGAGTCAATTGATCTTCAATTAGAATGCCTTTTAATGAATCAATTGAAATCGAATTAACATCCCGTTAGAATCAATTGAAATTTACATTGCGACCGCAGGGGAGGAAAATTAACGCGGCCCATCCCACTCGCCCCACTCGGTTCGGGGCAAGTGGGGCAAGTGGATCAAGTGGGTCAAGTCGGTCAAGCGGGGCAAGTGGGGCACGTGGGGCGAGGGAGGCAAGGGGGGCCGGCAAGTGGGGCAGGAGTTCACTCTCTTTCTATTGCGACCACAGAGGGGAAATTTAACGCGGCCCGTCCCACTCGCCCCACTTGCCCCACTCGGTTCGGGGCAAGTGGGGCAAGTGGGAAATTTGATTGAATTCCTTTTAAATCACTTGAAATCGAATCCAAATCAATTGAGATGGAATTCAAATTCCTTTTAAAATCAAATGAAATCGATTAAAATCCAGTTAAAATCAATTGAAATCGAATGAAATTCAATTGAGATTTAATTTAATACGGCTGCAATTGTCATAAAATCAACTAAAGTCGCATTCAGTTCTTGTATATAAAGCCCTTTACAAAACCATATGAAAATCAACCAAGACCTACCTGGTAGGATGTCAAGGGGATATGACCTCAAAACCACGCCTAATTCATTATGGTCTGGCTCCTTTTAAAAGTAGTCTTCTCCCTTTTAAAATGATCATGAAGATCTTTTAGGGCCGTGGATTTATCTTTTATTATTAGGGGGGTTTTTATTAATATCGGGAAGCGATTACCTTGACCTTCTGCATCAATCAGAGGTTCTCATGAAAGGTTGCCCGTGTCCAGGCCAAACTTCTTGCTGAGGCCATTGCCAGGCTCCTGCATTCCTAGGAGCCAAAAGCATAATGAGTCTCCAGCAGCGTGACGGCGCCAAAAAGGCGCACCGAACAGCTCACCCCATACGCGCAACCTCACAGCTTGGGCAATTTTGTATGTAGATTCCTAGATGCAGGTATGATGAATTGCTTCACAGCCTTTTATGCAAGCCTTTCCTGCGCGTCGATGGGCACAAGTGGAAACCCATGTCCTATCCCACAAGACTGGGCATGGGACTAGCCCCGGGTGCGCGTCTCTGCTCGTAGCTTGTGCCACCCCAAGCCATCACCTTCCACGTCTGCCATGCAGGTGCGGGGTGTCGAACACGTCTAGGTAACAGAATGCTGTCCAGCTAGATCAGGTTCCAATGATGGGGTGTAGCTGCCTGATTTGGCTCTTTTGCTAAGTTGCCTCTGCTTGTTATTGTGTGCGCCATGCATAACTAGCATCTCATCGCCCTTGAGCGAACGAAGCTTTGCCCCAGGCTCTCTGATTGCCAGTGTCAGCAACCTGCAAATCAAACTTTGCGGACTGTGTCTCAAGTCACCTCGTGCAAGCTGCCAAGACTGGGAAGTACGAGGAGCAATAAAATCTTGTGGGCTCTCAGCGCAAGTTTTCTGCTCAGGCTGGCAGAGGAAAGCGAGCTTGCTAATCTCAAAGACGAGGCGGCTCTGCCAAAAGCGCTCCAGTTGCAATATCCTCAGATGACAGGCGGAAACCCTGCAAGGCTTACAGATGCTTGCAGGCTGCCGGTTCATCCTTCCTTGCACAAAGCTTTTCGCTACGTAGGAGCAAGGTTGATGGAGCAAGGATCGTTCCGTCCTGCCTTGCCCTTCTTTATCCCCGATTTTCTTGCCTGCACACCCAGTCCCGAATTATAGTCCACACCAAAGTCGCGACAGGCTCTGTCCTTTCATACTCAGTGCTGCCACGGTTCAACTGCAAGACCTTTCGGGGTATCCAGTTGATCAAGCCCAGATCCACCGAGTGGGTTGCCCTGCGGCACGACATCCATGGGTGCGAGCGCAAATTTGCGATGGCTCACTGCCCCCTAAAGGAGTGAAGACATAAGCTGCAACAGCAAGTGGCAGGCAAGGCAACCAGACTTGGGCTCAAACACCCCCATCCTGCGAGGGGCAGCAGCACCTCAGCGCTTTGAAAGCACAGCATGGTCGAGCCAGGCACGTTAGAAGTAGTAGGCTTAAGTGCCTTCTCTCACAAGCATGCCCCGAGGCTCTGCAATGCCTCCAAATCCGCACAAGCATTTTTTGCGCTTCTAGGTCGCGTCTGCAACGATCTTGGCTGATATGCGTATGCTTTCTTGGAGAGCATGCGCCTCCCGCCTCCAGCCATTGATACTTGCACTGGCACTGCTCTTCGTCTTTTGTTGGGCAATGAGAAGTCGTATGATCAATGTGCTGGAAATTCGGAGCAGGTTAGGAGATTTATACTCATACTCAACTGCGCTGAAAAAGCCGCGCTTTGCAGTACGCTGTTTATCGCTAACTTTGTTTGAGAACTGAAAAGTGCCTATTGAAGCTTTCAGGGTCTAAGCTGCTATACATTAGCTGCCTAACAAGGCCTCTTGGCCTCCAGCTTTGCGCGGCTCACTGAGTGTTGCGCAGCTGCTAAGGTGAAACGCACATGGACGAAAGCCCGGCATATAACCCAAGCAACTAGAACGGAGAATCAACACATTTGAAGGACCTGACTCGCACTGGCTGAGCTCAGGCAGGTCCACAGTGCAAACAGCTGTTGCTGAGAGGATTTCAACAGGTACTGCTGCCAAAAGCTCCAGCAAGATTCCACCATACGCGCGAAATCGGTGCTCAGGAGATTGTCGCCACTCCTTCTCCCACTACTTCTTCTCCGCCTTTTTTAGGGCTGAAGCTGGCGGGTTCACAGCATTGTGCCTGTTGAGAGTCCTCAAACTCACGCTCGCAACGGCTGGTTGCAACGCCTGTACCAGAAAGAAGAAAAGAAACAAAAGGTCGAATGCAGAATTTGGAGCTACCACGCCCAAGACTCCAAGACTGTTCTATTCTGTATGAAGCCATGATGCTGAACAGGGCATCCAAAAATGTCCTTCTAGTGCCCCTACACCTTGGATCACCCAACTGCTTCTGCTGTCAAAACACGCACGGTTCAGGTGAAGGAATTTTCGAATGCTGTTCCATCTGGATTTACTGCTAAATGCATGCCAGCGGGACGGCAGAAAGAAAGTGATCATGCAGCATTTAGTCGAAGCCAACACTTTGATGAGGCATTTGGCCATCCTAGGATTGAGCAAGTTCTCCCTGGCGGGGCGTTCAAACAGCCAGCTGGCTACAGTGCATGGGTTGCCTTTTAAAAGCATGTAGTTGGCCTGCGAGCTTGCCTTTTAGACGCTCGTGCAGACTCCGTTGGTCTATCTTGATGGTGGGGCTTTGTCGGCAAAATCTGGAACGCAAGCAAAGAAGCATTGCCAAAGTGAGCTCTTCAGGAAATTCAGGCGCGAAGCCTCTTCGTTTGCTGGCAGCTATCATTCCTGATTGCGATCTTTTGCTCGCGAACGGAACATTTTCGGCCTCAGCTTCCCTGGTCCTGGCTCTCCCTCTGGATTGTTACCCCTAGTTGTATGTCAGCTAATCAGTCGTCTGCTTTCTTACCTCCGTAGAGAACACTCAGTGCAAACAGCGCCTTACAGCTGCACGTGCTTCAGGTAGCCTTCTGAGGTGCCATCGTAAGAAGGGCCAACTTTAACAGATTTGATCTTTTTCAAGTTGCAAGTTCTGTGCCCAGCCAGCCCTACCACAGGGCTTGATAACAAAGGTGTGCTGCATCTGATGCTGCACCCTGGCCGTCCCAATCTGTCGTCTCAGTCCTGTCGGCAGCTGCAGATTTTTCAGAAACGTGGAACAGCATGAACAGCGCACGCTCATTTTCAGTGCTTGACATTTCTCTAACTGAACTGATGCGACCTGTCATCCAGTCCTCTTCTGCTGGCTCTTGAGGCTGCTGCTGCTCCTGCTCTCTGGCGTAGATTGCCCTGAGCGTGCGTCTGTAAGGTGATTCACCAGTTCGAGGAACATAAGCGTGCCACAGTCAACGGTCGAAGAATCACAGCTGTGAAAACAACGATGGCTTTGCATTGAAATTTGCCAGGAGCACACGCACGCGGCCGTGGAGAGTCGGAGGGTCGGGTCCGAAAACATCGACAGTTCTGCATTTGGAGACGACAGAATCTGAGAAGTCACAGGCGACCCTTCTGCATGCCTGAAGGCCGCTAGCAGTTTACAAAAATGCCCTGCGATGGGATCATCAAAACATTGTTGCTCATTGCAACATGTCACGATCATAGAGAGGAGCCGGCCAGAATCACATGCGAGCTGTTCAGAAGACACGGACAACGTGTTAAGAACGACCATTGTCTGGAGGGCCGGATTTGGAAGCAGCTGGCTCGGCTGCAAAGTGTTGGCTGAGGCCTAATGACTGCCAAGCGTCTTGTAAGCTGTTGGGAAAAGTGTCTTGATGAACTCAGAGTCATCGATAGCCTTGGTCACATTGTTGCCGGCGGCAGCGCGACATAAAAGGCTTGCATGTGTGCTTTCCAAAGCAGTGTTTGTCAGCCTAGGCTCGAACGTGTCTACGCGTGCTTCCCTTTACCATGTCTCTCCTGTACCATGTCTTTCCGAATCCCTCCTCAAGTCCCAGGCAGCCCAAGCCTCTGACAGAAACCGACAGCTAAATCTGAGGGACCAACGCTATGGAAGCGTTGCTCACCAACATGCCACCATCGCGTGGCCCCAGCCCTTTTAGTTTCAGCGCGATCTTTCAAAAGTGAAGGCCGCGTCTTGTTCTAGCAAAGTGTAACCGGTCGGTCCTGTCCCTCTTCTTCACACCTTTTTCGTCATGTTTCCGTCTCTTTGATGCTTGTTTGGGCTGTGAGAATCAACCTTGTCCTGAAAAGGGCCCAAACTAGTAAACATCCAACTGATGCCTGCAGCTAGGAAACCCCACTTCCGTCGTTATCGAAGGCCTGGAACACATCGTGAGCACGCTCATCCTTCGCCTCAACCTCCAACCTGATTTGACTGGCAGGACATGCAAGGCCAGATGAAACAACGTCTTTCATTCTTCAGCACACACAACACCTCATGAAACCTCTGAACATGCTGTGGTAGCTTAGGAGTTTGACTACGTGTCTTTGATGCAAAGACCTACCACAGGTCGTTCATGCATGAACTTCACTTCTCGCTGCACCAGACTGAAAAACCAAGACACTGTTGAAGCATTCGACCTGAGCGGACATCGCCATCACTATGATTCCAAGCGCGAAATGCAGAAACCAGCCTCTCTGATAGCACAGCAGTGAAATGCATCATCCCCGCAGCCCTTCTCCCCTCGTAAAACATGTCAAGGAATTATTCGCCGGCGCAGGACGGAATTCGTCCATGGACAGCTCACCATCGCCGTTCTCATCATAGTTACCTTGTTTGTACGGAGTCAAAAATAATAGCACTGATGCTGGCCAAGACATGAAAGGTGCGCCCAGATATGCTTTCATGGTGGACAAAATCATATAAGCTTGGCAGCCAAGGTGCAGAACAAGCCCGGGATATCCTGTGGATCATATCCAACCTCACGTGCAAGTCCCGTTTGCTGCTGTCCTAGCACGCCTAATTTGCTTTCTTTTCGGGTGGCGCCCGCCCCAGCCCAACACATGCTGCGCTACATTCAGGCACAGCAGCAAACACAAAGCAAACGCAAACAGCAAATGCAAAAAACATACAACATACATACAACACGGAACGCCAAACGCCGACCCGGTCTGTGGCTCAAAGATTGCTATAACCCTGGACAGTGACTCAAGGGTGAAGCTGGTTAGCAACGGCATGCCCTGCCCTTTCAGGTGGGGCGTGCTGCCAAGTAGCAGTTGCGAAGCGAGTCCTTTGCAATGTGCAAACTTCCCACGCATCCAGATTGTCATGTGGGAAAGCTGCGTGTGTCAACTTCTATTGCAACTGCGGTGGACGAACAAATCAAGCAGAATCGTGCGCTCAGCAGGCCTCAGCCGCTGCATAAGCAAAAGCCGATGGCGGTCATCCCAAACAGAACCAAAGGCCTTGAAAAGCAGGACTCCGCATCAGGATTTCAGTTGTCGTGGCGGCTGCTCCACTTGAACGGCACCATTGCGGCTCGCAACTTCCCTGATGTATCTTCAGATGCCTTCAGTAGCTCATTTACTCGGGGCAACTTGGGAAGTTGCGCCTGGCTTGAGAAGCATTGCATTGCAGCACCTGCCTTGCCCACGATTCCGATGGGCATTGCCATGTAAATGGCCGACCTCAATGAGATGGATAAACTCCGCGGGAATCTGTTTGTCAGCCACGGTTCAGTGGAAATTCAGCTGAGGTGAAGTTGGCCTTTGCACTCACGCCCCTGGGAAAGTGGAAGGGTTGCTGATCAGCGGCACTACGATGAGCACGCAGACCACGATGTTGCCGGCAGATGTTGCAGGAACAATGTCTCCGTATCCCACGGTGCTCAGGGTCCTTTGCTGTGCAGCCGCACGGGTGCCCGACTGAATCTCAGTTGCACATGAAGCCTTCGATTCTGAGTTCATCTAGGCGGCACCATCGTAAACCAAATTGCGCGAGGCATACTTTCGATGCTGCCACCTGAGCGGTTCATCTTTTTGAAGGTCATGGCGAGGCTCAGAGCTCCTTGTTTCTTTTGCACGCTGGGGTGTTTTTGCACTTCCTTTGCTAAGGGACCTGTGCTTTCGGACTCCAGGACGTAGATCACGGACGAGAAGAAGAACACCAGCAACATCTGAGCCACAAGCGCACCATACAAACACAGCTTGCTACGGCTACAGTACTTGAAGGGGGAGGTGTTTCCTGACGCAAACATGAAGAATGTCCAGAACCAGGGCTACATTCGTATCCGCTCTTGCACGTGCGCTCTAAAGCCCGGGTCGCTAAACCCGAGTGACAAGACCTCCTAAATCATCTGGATTATTGCGCTCATGGCTTTTGCTCCACAAAGGCAAAGCCAGCTGGGCCGAACTCGCTGAGAGCCTGGCCATACAGTAGAGCAGGGAAGGCAGCGCCTCAAATTCGCAGGTTTCGCAACTGTTCGATTGCAGAGAATGCGAAGAATCCCGGATCTCCCGGACAAAGCTTCTGCACGTTGTAAGTCCGGGGTGCTCCCAACGCTTCCGCGAATGCCTGCTGGATGAGGTGGCTGTTCCTGGGGACAACGCAACTTCTTCAACATAGCAAGTGCCAAGTGCTACACTAACCTTCTGGCAGGCAGAATTTGATCAGGTTTCGACGCAAACTTATGCTTCGCACTGTTTGCCTGTTCGTTGATTAGACTCTTCGCTGGCAGTGCCAGTTGTGGCTTACACAAAGCTGTGCACATGCTGACGCAGGTAGCATTAGGAACAGGCCAGGCATCTCAAACCGTCTGAGAAGCTTGAGAAGACGCACCACAGGTACCTTGGTATGGGCAAGAAACAAGCAAAGACCATTCACAGGCGGACCTTGCATGCGCACACGATTAAGTACTGAGAAAGGCAAGCCTTTTACATCTACAGCCCTTGCATGACCGAGTCTCCAGTACGATGAGTAACAGCTCAATCCCGGAGACGTCCAAGTTGTCCTCCGCCGCTAGTGAAAACCTTGTCAAGGCTCGACGGCTTTGAGGACATCAGCTTGCTTAAGCCAAAGCTGAGTGCACTCGTCTTGGATTTAACCAAGCAGCGATTGAACACGTAGCTTCATCGCCATGGGCAAAATGAAGGAGAGAATGTCCAAGGCGTTGTAGAAGCTCAGAGACGGGAGAGATGCGGTCAGCAATGCTTCAAGTGCAACAAAGCAGTTTCAGAGAGGATATGACTGAGATTCTCAGATTCACCTTCTCTATCAGCACCAGCATGGTCAGCCATGTACATGTGGCATCCTGTGGCCGGATATGTACCTGAAAAACCTCGCATGGCAACTCCCTGCATTCCATCCAAAGCCTGGTGAAGAATCGGAGGCGATTTGGACACCCATAGAATCGCAGCATCACCTGGCAGGCAACCGGTTGAGGCGAGTATGCACAACAAAGCCGGGCGAAGGTTTCATCATGAGCATGTGAAGCAGTAATGAAAATTCTCGCCCCCAAGTTCCGGTTCTGTTCCCAAATGCAAAGCAGCAAGTATCTGAATCGAAGATCAGCTGGTTGCCCGTACTATTGGTTGGTGGCTCGCTCCTGCTAGCTGCTTTGACTTTGGTCACTTCAGAGTTGGAGTGGAAGCTTGCAGGCTTCATTAGTGAAGTCAGCGCTCACGTTGCACTTGTGGGGTCGCGTGCAGTTTTGTGCGAGCACATTGTCTACATGCTCTCAGCTGCGACCACTCAAGGTTGGAAAACCATAGGTTGAAGAGACTACAAGAAGTCAGCTGGCAGGCCCACCTGTCCCACGCGCAAGGAACTTCAGAATCTTTCGAAGGTTCCGTAGAACTACCGTTCAGGGAACATGTTGGGTATGCAAGCACGCTTGCCAAACTTTGGCGAGGTGTGTGTGTGTTGTGTGTGTTAACGCGTGCTGATCGCAGACGACCCATGCGTGCGGTTCGTGTTCCATCATGATACTCATCCTTTGCTTCTACAGCTCCAGGCCACAGGTCCTACACACGCTAGGCGTGCCATCTTCTGGTTCCGCTACGATGCCTCGCTCCTGAAGCGGCTTCAACCTGGCCCGAGCGCTTCGCCCCAAAATGGAGAAACGGACCCCCATGATGCAGATGATGCTGACCCCCTTGGCCAGCATCATGGTTCGCTATGCATTCAGGCATTCTGATGCCCGCGACGCTCTGCTGGTGCGGGCTTTGAGTCAGCTGAACCCGTTTATTTCAAACTCAGGAAACTGCCTTCTAAGTTGCCCGCCGCTACCATCAGCTGCTAAGTCGGGCAACGTGCATTTGTGCAACTGCTTGGGCCGTTTCTAAAAGCTTTGCTCATGCGCTGGCAGTGTTGCCCGCTCCCCTGGTCTCTGGGTCCACGAGTCTGCAACTGTCTACAAAGGCCGCAAGATATCTACGTCAGCCATTCCATATTGGCTCGTGTTGGAACAATGGGCAGAAGTTGAAGCTTTTTGCCTCGAGGCAGAACAAGCAGTCCACGCTGAACAGCGCCAGGTCAAGACCAAACGATGCCCTTGGATGTCGCTTTTTCTAGTGACCTCTGGCAGCCCTGCCCCAGAATGCCTGGAACTTCCGCAGTTGGAGGAAGCACATGCTGTTGCATCAGTGCACTTCACGTCCCTTTTGACTGTGCCGTCTTCTTATCACCAATATGTACTACATATGCACAACTCTGATCATGCCAGGCATCGTCTCGTGAAAGCCAAGGAAGTGTCTGGGAATGACAGGCAACCATACACCTTAGCAGCAAGCAGAACCTACCCAGCTTTGCAGAACTGTTCGTCACCAGTCTCTTCACCTAGACTGTTCACAGACCCGTTGATGGAACGCCCTAGAGCTAAGCGCGCGGACCTCAGACACACGTTCGGATTGATGCAAGGTCCAACCCAAGCCATCAACAAAGTAGCTGGCCCCTGTTTCAAGAACTCTGCTGTTTGCAATGCCTCAATGCCTCACAGCCTCACTATGCTATGCGATCTGCAGCGACTTGTGCAGCCATCTGTGGACTTACTTCCTCTACAGCTTCAGCCAGGCTGCTTGCCAGGATCACGCAGGACAGCCTCAGGCTTGCACTTTAGCTGTGCAACTACTACCCAAAAAATTACTTCAAGCAGGCTTCTTTTGTTTTGGGTGGATGAACTAAAAGCATCTCACCTTGCGGCAATAGAACCGCACTAGCTCGTGAATCCCAAATGATTTCCCCGGAACCTTACTGCCAACAATCTTTAGTAGTTGCTTGGCTCCCCACATACTGTCACTAGCTTGGAAGGTCGTTAAAATCATTGAGGGCCACGTCGCGATGAGGAGCTGACTGCAAAGTCAGAAATTGGTCGCTTTAAGCCCACATTATAAGACACCCTTGCTGGTTGTGATTTCGCAGGCCGATTGCCACCAATGAGCCAACTGTGATTGCGCCAGCCCATCTGTTTAGAAGGTCGGCCCTGAAGCTTCATGTGAAAGATCTCCGTACATTACGGTGGGATCTTGTACTTGAAGGATGTTGCTGATGCTTGGACGGCTTCATACTGGTGATTGGGAGCTGATGGCATCAACGTGAGCCACCGTACTGTGACCGACTAATCCGAATATCCAGGCGCTACCTTTCTGACAGAGCTCCACCTGTTTTTTTCCGAGCTACACATTTTCGTAGATCCGTGCCCCAGGCATAAGGTCTGGATCCTCCAGAAACATCCTTGGCGTGATCCTTTCCTAAAGAAAGGGATCATGAATAATCTGCATGCGCAGGAAGAATCACGGCTGCATGCAAGCTCACGCACACACATTTGCCTTTGAAGCTATCCTACTACAGCTTGACAGTGCTAGTAGTTGCGCTGCATCACCAGACCTCAACATCATACAGTCATGGCACCAGACTTGCTTCTGCAGCTTGGTCCGCTTTCGCTGCCGAACCTTTCATTGACTTGCAAGTTAGTCTATGCGGTCAGCATTGCAATCTTCATTAGCATGCGAACCCGGCGAGGCTTCAATGCTCCTGGCCATTTCATGTCCGCAAAAGAAGCTGCGCTTCCATGGGAATAAACGGTGGGGTTGAGGGATAGGCCTCTGTGGTATTTGCTGCCATTCTCTAGCAGACAGCCAAGCAGAAATAAAGACACCACAAAAATGAAATTCAAACTTGGCCGGCTTTTGCGGTTCCTCTTGGAAATGCGTATGCTATTGATGTGGGGAAGATCTGCTTCAGCCGGAACAGTGGAAGGAACCCTGTCCAAGTCAGAGAGATGATTCCCACATGTACAGAGTATGCGTATATGCTACATATGTTGCTTGTCTGGGCTGAGCAAAGATGTCCCCCAATACTCAGCTCGACTTTCCTGGAAGGCTGTGAGTTTTCTTTGGAAGCTTTGCACCTAGCAGATAGGTCGGCTTGCTTTTGTGGTCAACAGTATCCTTCACATTTCGTGCAGCTTTGGCAGCATGCCAGTGTGCCTCACTCAACAGAAGCTGATTACGTGTGTCGGAGGATCGCATGGCACTTCTATCAACAGCTTGCCCGCATTTTGCAAAAGCGACAGGCTGGCTTCCTGGGGTGGCATCCCCATGCACGGTAATGAATGCTGCACAAATGCACCACCACAAGGCAGACCAGCGGCAGAAGGCGCGACTTTTTGCCCTTCGTTCGTCGAGGTACTGCAGGGCATGGCAGAGGCATGGGAAAGCTACTCGTTGACTTAGCAAACTTCGCGCTTCTGCCGAGCCTGACTCGCCGGCTGGACTGCTTCATGAAGAAAATACCTTGGCATCCCATTGCTCTACCTTTTTGAAGGCTCTGAGAGGACACCAGCTACTGTACCGCCACAATATGGGAGGGAGCTTCTACAGCATATGCAATGGAACAACGCAAATGGCAAGTCAACTCTTAGCCTTGCAGTTTAGGAGCGACAATCTTGCCTCACACGCACCGCAATACACTGCCCAAATGTTCCCCTTGCTCGGACTTAACCGAGCTCAAGCCTGCCTAAGCACATGCATGCTGTCTTCCCACAAGCCATGTCCTGCAGGTTGCCTGAGGATGCTGTCGTCTTTTTGATGGGACTCCGCTCGATTCGCTCTGGCTCCGCCTTGGGTCATCACTGGAGCAGCAGTACGCCAGGTATTGACTTGACGCCAACCATCTGCAGTCAAATGACTGCAGAGGCGGAAGCCGCAGAAGTGCGGGACCCCACATGGGACTGCCTCTCCTCACCCTGCATGCAAGTCAGCCGTGCGCGAAGAAAGGACCAGGCAAACAAGGTATTCTCAATCCTCTCTGAGCTAGGAGGATGAAGCAAATAATCTATTTGCAGGCGGAGCAAGAGTTGCCCCAACAACGTCTCTACAAGGTCAGGATTGTATCGAAGGCTTGCCTCCACCGCATCATTCCTTAGGCAGGTCTCAAGGCAAGGAAGCAAGTGTCGCTGTAGACAGCAGCTGCCTGGAAACCCTATCACAGATTTCGTGGTTGTCTTTGACATCCAACACCAACCCATCCAACAAGCATGCCTCCTTCCACTCCCAAGTTACAGCTTGAAACGCAGGTCGCCGGTATACCCCTAACTAAGCGAGTCCCGGTGGCTCCTCGTTTGTGCCGATCCCCAAGCGCCGTAAGACGAGCTGGCGCGTGCCCTCTTCCGGGCCAGCCTCATCCTGTGCAAGATGCAGAAAATTGACCTGAGTTGTGCCGGCACGTTGCCCCAAAAGGTCCTCGTGACTGCCTCTCAGGGATGGCCTCAGCAACAGGGCATGTTGAGTAACCTGGTGTGGAATCTTCAAAGCGCGACTGCACCAAGACAACGTCCCCACCTGGCAGAATTGTGCATGGAGTTCTGCTCAGAGGTGAGCCACACTGCTGCAGAGCTTCGATTTGATCGCCTTGGACATAGCATGTCAAAGGCATGGTACCGTACCCTCTACTGGGAATGGATCTATCAGTCGATCATCAAATCTTGAGCAGTGCTGACAGTGCACTTAGACCCTAGCTAGAGCGACTTGCTCAACCACAAGAAGTCCTCAAAGCCTAGAGGACGCTTGCTCTGATCCTCTTCCTGCTATCTTCCTCACCGGTCCAAGCCACACGTGGTCGAGATCCTGGCACAAGCTTTGAAAGCTCCACAATCATTTGCCCCATCTAAAGTTTGTAGAGCGATTGCCGACTGCCCCGTACAAAGAAGCCCGCAAGATCTCTACAAACAAGCGAACCTGCCAACTCTGTACATTTACCATTGCCTGTGGCAAGGTTGAATGAAAGTGCTGTTTCTCTGGCATTTGTCCTCTGTGGCCGCTTCGCTCGCACGTCCAGAAGACATCATGTTCGAGGCCCGCGCGCCGTAAGACCTGAAGCAAGTATGGGTTGTGCAGGACCTCAGAAAAACTGCAGCAAGAATGTTGAAAGTCGTTGCCGCATGGCATCAACTACGTGTCTGACCTCTGCTCCTGCAGCTCCGGAGGGAATTCGTCTGCGGAAAGCTCGCCTGTCGGTAGCAAAGTTCCAGGTACACTAGATCAACCCTGAAAACTAAAGAAATCTGCCCAAACTTCTTGTACATCCAGATCATGTCACTGTGCTCTGAGGCAAGCTTTCAAACAGAACGTAGGAGATGCTTATTTTCGGGAAGTCTTGACAAGCTTCAATCACCCCCTTCTGCCAGCACAACTCTTCACGAATGACGTGGAAGTAATATGCGCAACAACGTGAAGGTATTGCATAGTCTCAGCGGCTGGGTCGGGTATTCATCGTATGGATGAGCTGGGCAAACCGACCTGCAGCCATGCTGCACATGAATTGTTAGGATCAAAGCAACAATAGGAATACTCTTGCGTGCGCACGTTCTCAGTTAGAATCAGGTAGAGTATCCCCCATCAGATGCAAGGCGCGTTCTTCTTCTCGAACCAAATGGGCGACAAGTGCCCATTGGTCGCAAAAGGTTTGGAAACTTTGCAAGGACAATGTCGACCAGTCTGCCAGAACTACCCGAATTCCAAGCACGGCCAAGCTTCTCTTCGGAACCGCAGGGATGGTCTGGCCGCGAGGCGTACCATCCTTGGACCAAAGGGTTGGGCTTGCCGGGATGCGCCCTCCCAAGCCTTGATGGCTTCCGTGCCGCAAGAACCAACAACCTGTCCTGCACTGTTTGCAGCGGAGCATCCTCGACTGGAATCGGTGAGCTACGCGCCAGCTGTTCGATGCTCATATCTGCACAGAGGTGCGCATCACGCAACCGGCATGGATGTGATAGGCTCTTTCGACAATTGCGAAGATTGAGGAGCGAGCTGCTCCGAACAGAGAAAATGGCAACGAATGAACCAGCTTGCCCCAACTCAAAGCCCTGGCCTTCCCGCCCTGCAAACTTGCCGGCTCGCAATTGCTCAATGATGGCATCCAGTTTTCCCTCTATCCTCTCATCCAGCCTTGCAAAATGTAATCATTCACAAAGCCAGGCTTGCAACATGCTACATCAAGGATGTCCCCTTGACAGCTGAGTTCAGTACATCAGACGGGCTGCTGAGGTGTCGCTCAGTGATGCTCAGACTCTGGGGGTCACTCTGAAGGCAGCCAAGTCACCACTGCATGCCCTGCAGCATTCCCTGCGTAGGCTCCAGGCCTGCTGTCTAACCGTCAAGGGTCACAGCATGGTAAAATTAGATGGACATTACCGCTTACAGTACCGCATTTGAAACTGAGAGAAAGCTTGACGTGAACTCAGCTAGGCTCAACCAGGAGTTAGCCGAGGTGCTGTGCATGTCCTTCCGCAGGGCAGCAACTTCCGCAACAAGGCTTTCCACCTGCCACTCTCTGCAGGTCTTGAAACCATCTGCAAAAACCGAGGGAAGTTGCTGATGGCAAGGCATATGATCGTGGCCTTGCGTGGGCCCCCAAAATTGGACACAAATATGCTGTTGCCTTGTCATCCATAATGCTGAGGATGTCGTGGACTCCCTGCAGGATTCTGCTTCCAAGCATCTGGGAGAAGCCACCCCTTGGTTGCGAAGAAGGTCTGTGGCGCTGGTGCTCTGCAGGTCTGGTTAGCACACAGACTTGAGTAGAGATGCGCAGATTGCTCGCTTTTGCACACCTTTTGTAACCTGTAGCCAATCGTAGCCGAGTCTTCGTTCAGATCACTGGAGTTAAGTTGGGCATCTTTTTTCCGCACCCTTGAGCAGCAGTGTGGCGGAAGCCGAAGAAAGGTGATCTCTCCCTTTCGTCTTATTCAAACCAAGGCGCGACAGCTCCTCTGGGTGACCTTGAATGCATGCAAGCTCTGAGACGAGCACTTTTGAATACATATCTACTGCTTTGCAGCTTCGTGGTCTGTTGACCCTGCCAACTCCACCACTTACTATTGTTGAGGTCAGCACTGTACAATGAACAGTGGCTTCATGTTCTGCACGCTCATTCCCACCTACCTACCTACCTACCTACCTACCTATGGTCCTGCAAAGGCCAGGATTAACATACACTCCGTTCATCCTTGAAGCCAGAAGGGCCAACTGTCTCATGATGCGCTACTATTGAAATCCCTCGCTTACCCACTCAACCTCTGAGGAACAAGGATGCCTGTGTAGCAAAAGCACTTACAGGTTTGGCGGGAATCTAAATACATGAGCTGAAGAGCAACTATGACCACATCAGGTTTGCCAATGCCAAGGCATCCCTCAAGTCAACACATGGGGAGTTAAGCCCACATCTAAGGGCTCCAATTGTGGGGGGGCTCCTGACCACAACGTTTAAGCTGCACTTAGGGAAAGGGGAAGCTCGAAAAACTGATACAGCCACACAGACAAGAACACATCGATCACGAAGACAACATGAAGACAGGACAAAAAGCACGACTCAAATGAGGATGTATGACGGCGGAAGCTCAAACACCAGACATGACGCTAAAGACATGGACAGGAGAGGCGAGCGGGATCCAAGGTCCAAAAGCGAGGAAAACAGTTGCAGGGATGCCGACCCCAACCCGCCAAATAACTGTCACTGCCAACACATTCGAACTACGCAGGGCCCCATGATAGGAAAGTGATGACAGCTGCGAGGCTCGCGACTCATCCACCCATTCTGTCTGCATTTCTGACATGCGGACTCGAGTGACATGGCGCGTCCCAAAGGCACGAAGGGAACTCAACAAATGCAACACTCACAAAACACTCCGAGCACGACTTGAACAGGTTTATGTCTGCTTCTGAGCCCGCAAGCCCGCAACAATTAGTACGAGCATCCCTTCTACTAGACATAAGTCATTCATGATGAACAGGCTGAAGTTGCTACAGCTTTTGCAGCATGGACACTGCTTGCGGTAGCTGCCACTGGCATAGTGGTCTCTCGTTGCACTTTGGTTTCTTCATTCCTCTGCTTTTGGCGTCGTGCCTGGCGCTCATGCAATGACCAAGCCCGAGCCTGGGCCTACGCCAGAATACCAGCAGACCAACAGCATACAAAGTTCATTTATCCGGAACTGCCTTGGACAACATGTTCAGCAAAGCTGAACATCTCATCACCGCTAGCTTCATGCAATACCACGCCATGCGAGGCAAATCACAGAAAATCCTTGCCTCCAGGACCTTCCGCGCGTTCTCGGCTTTGTCGCCGGTGTTGGCAGAGGCTGAGCGAAGCAGCAGGAAGAAGCATCCCTTTATAGTCCACTGAAATCACTAGAACCGTTCGAGATTGCAATGTTCCTTGCAAAGTTTCTGGTTCACGAGGCAGCAGCAGCAGTACGAGCAGCAGACTGACATGTGCCTTCGTCAACAGTATTCCAAATGTTTCTTAAAGAGCAATGTCTTGCCGCTCTTGTCCGCAGGATACGCATCAGGATGCGCAAGGATTACCAGACAAGGGGTTGAGACACAAACATGGCTTGATGAAGGTAAGTGGTCTGCTCTCTGCGTGCGTGAGGTTTAGTGTGCATCAGAACTTGCGTGCATCATGACGCGGTTTAGCCTGTGGCAGTCTGTTGCCATCTGCACCACCAAGTCATGCTCAGCAGTGCTGTTCATGATGACTTTAAAGCCACATTCAAGCTGAGCCACGATTGATCGACTTTCGCAAGTCTAATCCTGCAAGCGGTACGTTGCACGCTTGGCTGGGTATCCAATAATCATTTGAGCAGCACACATCAATGCAGCAGTGCGTGCACCAGTCAAGTCAGAGAGGCCTGGCTGCTAAGATGGCATGTACGTTAACAAGCGCGCTTTGTACTTATCTGCGGGTGCCTGGAGAAAGCTTCGGAGAAGACACGTCCGTGGTGGGTCCTGATACGTAATACCGGGAAGGATGCAGATATCTAATCCCCCCGAGATAGGGCTAGTTATGCCGCATTTCGGCTTCTGTGCTACTGCCCGTTCAGGTTGCAAGGTGTGAGGCGCGTGGCAGGCAAGACATTCAATGCGGAAAGGCTGGAAGCTCCATTGAGCCTGGCAAGGACTCCCCAGAGCCGCTTCGCATGTCCTCAGGACGCCTTAGCTCACGCAACAAGTCTGCTTCTGGCCACAAAGTGGAACCCGGTTTCCAGGAAAGGACTGACGTTGCATGAGCCAAACCCCGGAATATGTTCCAGCTCTAACTCTGCATGTTCCAACTTCTCCCTTCCAACACTCAGACCCTCGCAGCTGGACGACGCTCTCGGCGCAGCTGCTAACAGAGATCTAGTCTGGCTTTGAGGGAGGCCCTTGGTGGATCCCGATTCCCCGGAAGCTGACCTGTCTGGTGTTAGTTCTACTGGTAGGTCTGTGACTTTTAGGGATCCGGGCACCTCCCAAATCTTCAACGCAGGGTGGCCAGGGAGTGGTTATAGCGTGCTAATGCTAGAGTTTGACTGATGTTACTGCTTGTAATGGTTGAACATCAGGACCAGGCCGTGGGCGGCCATGCCTGCTTTGGCTGAGGTGGATTAGGCCGCATGATCAATGGTGCTGTGCTGCCGGTACATGCCTCGTAGGTGCCCATGTCGCAGTCCTAGGCCTCAGCCCCTGGAGCCGAAACCGTGAACAGCAGCGAGCATCAACCCTGATGTAGATCTGGTCATGTGCAAACCTATCAGAGGCAAGCTGTGGCTGCAACGAACAAACTCAAAACCCATTGCACCTCAACCTTCCCCGGTCAATTTCACAAGGCTAGATTGCAAGCAAAGCTCGAACAGTTTGAATCTGTTCTCCAAGCCTTTTCAAAAATCAAGCGCAGCATGCCTACAAGCTCCAAGGATGGCAAGCACTCGCAGAATGGCAATGGACGGCGTCTCTTCCCCGTGTCCGAGAGAAAGACTCTCCAGCAACCGTGAGGCCGATCCGGTCGGCTGCTAACACCTTGAATTACAGCACAAAAGCGAAAAAAGCTGTGGGAGTACGTGGGATTGCTGCCTTTCCACGATTCTTTCAGTCCATGTCCCCGCCCCGACTTGCTTGCGGGAGGTCTTCCAGCCCACATTCGGAAAATTCCGTCAACCAAGTTCTAGAACTTCTTTACCAAGGAGCCCCAAGGAGGAATCAGGAAAGGTCAGGGCCATAATTACTCCTGGCTCAAGACTGCTCTGGAACAAGGGCATACGCATTTCTTTTCGTGTGCTCTGAGATGTGCACAGCAAACTTCTGGACTCGGTGGTTGCCTCGACATTAGAGACAACATGGGAGTTCTTGGGCATGCAGGCAACCAAATTCAGAAGTTAGACAGTTAGACACTGGCAGCGGCATTTTCCATCATTCGTGCGCATGCGGTAGTTGTAGAAGACGCAAAACGAATCAAATTAACTTGGAGCCTCTCGCGGTCTCCCGTCTTTAGGTTTGACGGCACCTATCCGCCGCTCCGCTTCTGGGCACAAGTCGTGGAAGAAGTAGCTTTGGACGCTCCAGAAAACAAACACATTGTGCGCATTTCTGCAGGTTTTGCAAGCACTCTACAGATTACTCTGCCTCCTGTGCCCTTCTTTACCACAGTTTGACGATATACACTTCAGTGAAACAATGTCTTGCAGACAGCTTGCTAAAACCTTCGGCCAGCAATCCGGCCGCCATGAGTTTGCATGTGAGCCGAAGGGTCCCCGTAGCCTGGAACGGACTGATAACTCTGATCCTGAAAGGGGAATTGCATGTTAGGCATGTGCCAGTTCTGCGGCATCTGAGGCATGTGGATGTTCTGCAAGAATCCGGCCTGTTCCACAGTCTGGCCACCCATCGACGGGTCCCATGCCTTCCTTACGTTCTTCTCCCTGGCACGCCTTTTCTTGCGGTCTTCCAAGCCCATCCACACGGCTGTAACAATGACGCAGAAAACAAGCACCACGAAAAGGAAGATCAAATAATTGACCCACCAAGGCCAACTGCCTGCTGCCGCTGTTGCCGGAACATCCGTAGGCCCCATACCCGGCACCACTAGCTTGACTTCGTTGCCTGTTGGCATAGCTGTTGGCAGGGGAGACACGTCCCCCACGCAGTTATGCTGCAACATCTCACCAGCAACGACGTCTGCCGCAGCTTCGCTGTCCAATCGAACTGACCGGAAGGGACCTGATGTTGTCAACGGGTAGCCCACAGTGCCCTCAGACGGAATCTCCAGGAAACACCCGTAAGTTTTTGAATACTGCCAGAATTGGCACAAAAGAAACGAGCGGCATTCATACTTGCAATGCTTGGCGCCTTCCTCCCAAGTCTTGAAGACTGTACCTCCAAAGCTATTGTGAAGCCCTAGCACCTGCACGCCGGTCGTCTGCATGAGGACCCGGTACGTGCCGTGCTGGAGCCTTTGTGCCCGAACTGGCACGGGGCCTTTTCCACCGTAACAGTTCTTCCCAAGCATGCCATTCCAGCACATGGGTGAACCATTCGGGTTTGAAGTGGTCTCTATAGACCACACAGAGCAAAGAGGAGACCTTAGTGCAGAAGTTGGAGCCCACTACAAGCTGACCCAGGGACAGGGCTGAAATTTCGACCAAGAAAAAAACAACTTGCTGACGTTGCTAACGATCTGCATCATGCACCTCATCTGACACGTCTCCTCGCCCTGGCCAGGGGAACAAAGGATTTTCCTACGGCTGTGCTGCTTTGACTGGCAACCTGGTCTGCCCGTAGGACCCGGGTCGGATGATGATAAACGAAGCATGTTCAACCCCACGCCATGTTCGCAACCGTGGTAAAAGCGCCTGCAAGTCAGTGACCTTCACCATGCCCTCGCAAAGTCCAGGCCAACCGTCCTTCCAAACGAGGCTTCAACTTAGATTTTGGATGCTGTACCTGGATGTATCTGGCGCTTTGTGCCACCCAAGCAATACGCGGACGGCGAAAACTCCATCACTACATGGGTGCACGCCATCATACATGCTTACACTGCTCTTATTTCCTCCACTACTCTCGGCATATGAAATGCATTAGTGATGGCGGTGTTGCCGCTGGCAAGCTTCACAACCGACGACCAGCTCAATTTTCTCTGGTGTCTAGAGCAGTTTCGGGAGTCCTGGAGGCAATTCTAGATTCCACCTACCAATGTGAAAAAAGAGAGGCCTTTGGAGCCTCTAGTGCTAACGCTTCACTGCGGAAATCCTGCGTGTCTTCGAGGACAATGGCTGTTTGGTTGCCTCAGAACTCTGAGATGGGGGATTGTTGTGGAGCCTGTATCCGATGCTGCGAGGGAGTCTTGACACTATTGCAGCACAGGGAAGGCAATAAAGTCTTGCCAGGAATGCAGCCAAATCGCGACATCGGGTCACCTGACCATCAGATCTCCGCGGCCAGCACTGCAAGGTGGTCGGCTGAACGCCCCCAGGCCATGCTTTCATACTCTTTTCGGGGGTTGAACCTGGGCAAGTCCATGCGCACAAGCCGGTCTGCTTCGATGTCTTGGCAAACATTGCAGGCACCATGCGTGATATTTGGGGGCCTCCGGGGCCTCAAATAGCAAAAAGTGCTTTGATGAGCCCCACGTAACAAAGCCTTACATGATAAAGATCATGACTTACAAAACCACGGCAGGCCGCCAGGAAAGCTCGAATCCGGCAGCGAGACGCAGGCCGGGTCTGGGGAAATGCACCTCAGCTTTCGGATTGTCAAACGGAAGAGTCACAAACAACGCCAGCCACATCCTTTCACTGTCAGATCGCATCAATATTCTTTCTTTGACGCTCGGTGTTGGAGGCAGGTCAGGTTACCTTGTGCTTGCTTGACCAGGGTAGACGACTTGTCATGTAATTCGCACGCGCAATTCGCTTTTGAGGTAAATTGCATGCACGTGGTCACCCTCATCCTTCAGGGCAGGAACAGCCTGCTCTCGGCGCTTGACCATATTGGAGAAGCATTGTTAGCTGCAAGCATTGTTAACTGCATTGTTTGGATTGCGCTTCACGCCTGCCTGCAGCACACGAACCTGATCACGACTCACTAAGCATCCTTGTTCACAACGGTTCCCTTCCCACGTTTGGAAGAACGATGAAGAACGAGATTGGTCTGCACCACCCTGGCGGGGCTTAAACGAAGTTGGCACCGTCTTCTCTTCCGTCCCCAACAAGGTCTGTATGGATGAGATTCAATGAAGGTATGTTAGGACCAGCTAGGTTATGCTGAGGACAATTTCCAGGAAGTGCTTCCGCTGCACAACCCCATCTTGACTGATTCAAGTCTCACTCACTTGTAAAGTACTGCATCCTGCCAATGCCATCCGTGGTCGTGTTCTTTTTGCCCACCCCGAAGGCTTAGCTCCCAAACCCTGACACGCGATCACGGCATGGTGTCTCCAAAATTGGGGCTAACAACACTCAGCTCCAGTTCGCTCGCTAATTACTTAAATAGCGAAAAATGCTCAAGCGTTGTGCTAGTTCGGAAAGCCGGATCATTGGAGTCAAGAAGCTCCCTCGGTCCAGCAATGGCACCCTTGGCCTCGTACAGAACCTCAGATCTGCGGTCGCAAGCGTTGACAGATAATAGACTCCGGTGGTTGGCAAATGTGTCTGCCAGTAGCTTGACCACGGAATGCCAACTGAAAATTGCTCAGAACGCGTTGCATCAGCAAAACTCTCAGAAGTGGTAAGAGCAAGAAACGGACTCCCTGAAGTGCCAGGAAAGAATCATGCGGGACTGTCGATGTGGCTATGGGGTTGGCAAACTTGGACGGTCTTCTAACATAGCAGAGTGGCGCCGCCCGACCCGCCGAGGTAGCCTGAGTCACACTAACCAATCTGGCAGCAGCTGTATGCGGCTGGTCCGAGCTTTATCATTCAGCTGCACGCTACAAAGCGCTGAAAGGCTTGGCATGGCTGTCACCTGGCTGTCTGCTCTTCTGCCTATTTTGGATCACCTGACGTACGCAGAGTCCGAAATTTCACGGGGTAAGGCAAAGCGGAAACCCACTGTTGCCCTCGCAAGCAAAGCCAAAGTGGCAGGTACCCGCAACCGGATAATATCCGAATTGGTGGCAGCCGATGGTGTTTCGACACTGAAGCTGGCCTGAGATGAGAAGCATGCAATTTCCCAAGCGTGTGAAGGCTGTTTTGCTCGCACATTTGTATGTGTGTAACCTGTTGTACCTTCAGGAATGGTGTCATGCGCGCCTTTTTGTTCTTGTCTTGTTTCATCTTTCGGAGGGATGGTGCTCTCCCTGGCATCATCGGCCATCGAAGACCCCCGAATAGGTGTAAATGTAGGTTCTGGCTTCATCAAGTTTTACAGGTATTCTGTTCCTGGTGTCTGGCATACCTTTGGAATGAACATCTTCGCTCATATTTCCTGCATGAATGTTTGTGCTGTTTTTTTTCCGCTTGCATGGCCGTACAGCATGGCATATCCTGGGCTCTGAAGGCTGGTACTGTTTTCAGTCCACAGCATTGATCCTCGCCTTGATGAAGTATGTCGTCCCAAACGCTTGCTAGCGGCACTCCAGCGCGGAGATCTTGGTGAATGGGTTGCCAGTCACATTGGTGAGTGGATTCCTTGGCCAGCATCGACGAAGTGCCTTTACTCATGTGGGATTCATGATTCCACGAGGGGTGTTCTACCGCACTTGAATGTCCAGACTTGGCAGATACATGCAAAAAGAGATGCTTCCGGCGCACTCAGCGCCAGTGTGGCCAAATTTAACATTACATCCATGGCTCGTGTACGCAAAGCCGTAGTGAAAGCATCCTAGTGACTGTGCCGCCGCGGTTGACAACCTTGGCCGTTGACACTCGATCTACACTTGCATGCATCTCAAAAGAATGGATCACAGACAGAGAGGAAGCACTGGAAGGCCTACACATGCAGCATGAGAGCATCAATCCAAAGTGGTGACTTCATCTTGACTGCTCATGCTGAAGATAATGCAGCAAACCTCAGCGACACCAGCAGCGCCATCCGTATGAACGCCTCCATGGCGTGTGACCCTTGGCTCTCAGCTGCTGCAGTCGGATGAAAGTACGGTCAGGACTCACCATCAGAGGCATTCATCAGAATCAGGCGTCGGCAAGTCGGCAAGCCTAGAGGACATCTATGACATGGACTACACAGCTCAGTGGAGACAAGGCGGCACAAATATCAAATAGTTCCTGCTTCATCCGCTGTGCCAAGGTGCTGCGCATTTTGACCGGCCTCCCCGTGGCACGGGCTCTAAACTCTGCGCAAAGATGCCGTAGCTTTGGGGCCAAACGGCAGCCGAAGTGAAGCGTGCTCACAAAGAGCCCTGGAAGATCCCTGCTTTATTCACTCAGGCTGCGCTGGTGTCTGACATGCTTGTGCAAGAACTTCTAACAAGCGTGTGTGCAGGGACGTGGCGGGACTGCTGCAAATGGTCAATCAGAAACAGTTCCACCCTTTCACAACCTTGTTCCAGCCTGCCTGTGTCAGCGACGTACAGGAAACCATCACCTCAAACGAAGAGCATGCTATGACTGGCTGAGTTGCAACTACAAGTTCTCCTCCTTCTTGGGAAGATGTACAATGCGGAAACCTTCCAGGCAGAAGCTCACGTGCTGATACTTGCAACCCGATCTTAGACTTTGTGTTGGAACTGAGCAGCAGTTTTTCAGAATTTCTCTTCATCTTGAAGAGTTGCCCTTTGGCCTGGCCGTCGAAACGGTAATTTTGCCTTGTCGGGTTGGCTGGTCCCCGGATTTCTACAGCTCAGGAACAGAAGATCCTTCCACAAGGATTGGATAGTAAGAGCCGAGAGAAAAAGCTTCCGAGAGCCTTTGGTAAAGGCTTACACCACGGGCTAGGCACTCAAACTTGTTTACTTGGCACACAAACTTCACCCAAGTGACAAGAATCCAGAAATCAAGAGAATGAAGGAATGAGTTCATAGGGTCATTGATAAGGGGTTTAGGGTTAGGGGACTGTTCCACTATACGGATCCATTCCCCAAGATTTGTCCGGACAAAGTTTTGAGCGCTGGTCTTGCTGCCTCGTTCGCAGGTTTGGCAAGTGTAGGGGCCTGTGACTGTTTGAGTAGAATAGGGTGTGGGGGACATCTTGCTCGGTGCGGTAGTCGCATGCGTTCCGAGCACCGTGCCGTCTAGCGCCACACCCTGCGGTAGCCGCAACTGCTCTGGCCGACAGCCAGCCTCAGCAGAGTCATGGCTGGAATTGCTCAGAACTCCGCAGCTAAATTCAGGCATGAATTATGACACCATTATGACACGCAGCACAAGACGCTTGCAGACACCCTTCGGAGAAGCAACGTATCGTGTAAATGGGCATTGCATCCCTGCAAATGAGGCATGCGCAATGCCTGGCGTCCCTGCAACAACCTGGCATAGGAATGAGATCCTCGAGAGTATACACAAGCCGTAAAACACAGGCACCCCGCAGGAGCCCATGACCCAGAAATTTTAGCGAGTTCACAAGGGAATATGAACTTCAGCAAGCTGCTGGAACTGACTGCGTTGCTTGCAAATCCTGCAGCTGAGGTTCGGAACACATTGCAGCACGGGCGTAGAATCTTGCGGGGACGAAGTGTGGTGAGCCAAAACTGGAATCAGTCAACCTTCCCAAACCTAATGTGCACAATACATTTCCACCACCACAAATCCTCTTGTGACTGGAGAAGCACCTCGACCGACGAGTTGGTCAGACCACTGATGCTGATCCTCGGCAGCCACTTAGGTTGTTCAAGTCTGACATGACGTCAAATCAGCGGATAAGCCTACCGCCTCCTGCAGCGACCTCAAGGCTTGCGATTTTACATGTCCTTTTCTTGCCGAAGTGCTCCAGTCTGACCTCTGCCTCTCCGGGGCCCTCTCTGAGCACTACTGGCTCACTCACGACGAGTATACCTTGAAATTTCCATCCTTTGCAGTTTAAGCTCAGCCCACAAATCCTCCGCGACGTCACATGGCGCGCAGGCATTACTGCGGCTGACCGACGCTTCTTGGGCACATCATCCAAGACTACGGTGCCTTGAACTTTCCGATCTCGGCAAACAGTTCGACTGTGGCGTGATTGAAGAATGCTGCTCTGCTGCCTTGGTAGGAGGAGCTTCGGAAGATGATCGGTTTCAGGGGCAAGACTCCGTCAGGCGGTGTTGTGGACCGAAACCAAAATTTTCCCACCATTCTTGGGGTAGCTAAAAACGCCGAAGCGACTCAGAAAGAGCAGCTGGAGTGGCCTTCTCTCGGAGCCTGTTGACACTTCATCTGCCATCCGCCAACACCACTAGCACTGGCATTGGAACCCACCCATTGGTTGATTTCTCCGAAACGGTTTACGCAAATATTGTGAGCCTGGTTTCCATCTACATGCCCCCACGATGTGGCCAAGGTGTTCAGCCGGGAGCCGCGCACCATCCTCCCAAACCTGATCTTGCATTCTTTAA